ACATGACTTAGTACTTGGTGGCAAAACCCTTGTTGGCAATCACAGAGGTCAGACGTTTCTTATAGTTGGCCACCAGGTTTGCACACATCTCAGGAGGGATTTGTTCCACTCCTCTTTGCAGATCTTCTCCAAGTCATTAAGGTTTCGAGGCTGACGTTTGGCAACTCGAACCTTCAGCTCCCTCTACAGATTTTCTATGGGATTAAGGTCTGGAGACTGGCTAGGCCACTCCAGGACCTTCATGTGCTTCTTCTTGACCCACTCCTTTGTTGCATTGGCCGTGTGTTTTGGGTCATTGTCATGCTGGAATACCCATCCACGACCCATTATTTTCAATGCCCTGGCTGAGGGAAGGAGGTTCTCACCCAATATTTGACGGTACATGGCCCCGTCCATCGTCCCTTTGATGCGGTGAAGTTGTTCTGTCCCCTTAGCAGAAAAACACCCCCAAAGCATAATGTTTCCACCTCCATGTTTGACGGTGGGGATGGTATTCTTGGGGTCATAGGAAGCATTCCTTCTCCTCCTCCCAACACGGCGAGTTGAGTTGATGCCAAAGAGCTCCATTTTGGTCTCATCTAACCACAACACTTTCACCCAGTTGTCCTCTGAATCATTCAGATGTTCATTGGCAAACTTCAGACGGGCATGTATATGTGCTTTCTTGAGCAGGGGGACCTTGCGGGTGCTGCAGGATTTCAGTCCTTCACGGCGTAGTGTGTTACCAATTTTTTTTATTGGTGACTGTGGTCCCAGCTGCCTTGAGATCATTGACAAGATCCTCCCGTGTAGTTCTGGGCTGATTCATCACCGTTCTCATGATCATTGCAACTCCACGAGGTGAGATCTTGCATGGAGCCCCAGGCCGAGGGAGATTGACAGTTCTTTTGTGTTTCTTCCATTTGCGAATAATCGCACCAACTGTTGTCAGCTTCTCACCAAGCTGCTTGGCAATGGTCTTGTAGCCCATTCCAGCCTTGTTTAGGTCTACAATATTGTCCCTGACATCCTTGGAGAGCTCTTTGGTCTTGGCCATGGTGGAGAGTTTGGAATCTGATTTATTGATTGCTTCTGTGGACAGGTGTCTTTTATACAGGTAACAAGCTGAGATTAGGAGCACTCCCTTTAAGAGTGTGCTCCTAACCTCAGCTCGTTACCTGTATAAAAGACACCTGGGAGCCAGAAATCTTTCTGATTGAGATGGGGTCAAATACTTATTTCCCTCATTAAAATGCCAATAAATGTTTAACATTTTTGGATTTTTTTTGTTGTTATTCTGTCTCTCACTGTTCAAATAAACCTACCATTAAAATTATTGACTGATAATTTCTTTGTCAGTGGGCAAACGTACAAAATCAGCAGGGGATCAAATACTTTTTTCCCCTCACTGTATCCACTTAGGGCAGCTGGAACTAGACTGAACTGGTGAGCTTAAGGCCCCTGTATTTATACTATTATTAATATGAATGGACAGTTTTATAATGTTTTAGAAGGTACTCCAAGTTTACTCAGCACTGAATCTATCTGGAATGTTCTGGAAAATAGGTAAATTTCAAAATATCAATGTTCTGGTCACAAAAGCAAACTTTGAGGAATATTAGCCATTTTCTGTACTTTTGTGGCCTAACCAATTCGGAAATAAAACTTACTATCCAGGATAAAAAAAAAAACATTTGTTACACAGTGAATTATCTGAACCGGACCTGGGCCTCCCCTAAGCCAACTCAGTTTCAAATTAGTAATTGGTGTGGTGTGTAAACATGGTCACGAGGGAGACAAAGGCGGCCGGGCGTGGTGCTGGCCACCCACCCCAATGTGTGTCGTGCCGGCCTTCATAGGTGCTCGCTAACAGCACTTGCCCCAAAAGTATGTTAGGGCTATACGGGGTGTCTTTGTCTTTATGTATATATGATGATAGCGATAAGGGACAAAATATATAAGCGACGTTTTGGGCAATGGCTCTTCATAGCTATGCTTCTTAATAGTTATGAATAGGTATGACAAAGGGCCATTGCCCGAAACGTCGCCTATGTGTTTTCCTTTTAAGACCCATCCAACATTATTGACGAATTCGGACGTTTATTTTCCTTCCCACATTTAGACAGCAGATGGCGGCATTGCGTCGCGTAAACCTGGTCCATATTGGCACTCGAAATGTATCGCGACAGAAGGGGACTTGCATCTCAGCTGGACCCAAAGAGTTGATCAACGTAGAAGTAAGAAAACAAACTTGCACAATAGAAGACAAGCTGATGATGCAGGTAGCGATGGGAACGGAAGTGCCACTTCTTGGACACAGATGTAGGATGGACAACAACAGGAGTTTAAAAAGTGTGGTGTTGGGGAAAAATTGAAGGAACCTGGAAAGAGAGAATGGCTTGACGAGGACATGAGGGATGTGCCACTACTTGAGCCATATTGGCACGAGAAGCCAGAGACGAAGGTGGAAACAAACCACGCGTCCAGTGGACACCCACGGGGGCTCCCTGCCCACGGGTCGTAATGATGACGCGTGATTGTAACTCGGTCGAGAAAAACTTTGACACTGAATCTACCCGCTGGTGAGAGGAGCGCGAGGGATATGAATGAATGAGCGACTGTAGCCTGTAGCCCTAGTGTCATGGTGAGGTTATTCAAAGACGATTTAATTGCGGGAGGATATCACTGAAGGCCCAGGTGTAAAATACACGGCCCGCCACTGGTTTTACAGGAGGCCTTCTTTCATGGACAGTCCCATGGCTCCTTGTCATTACACTACAGCACATCCTACAGATGCATACCTGTCAACCCCTAATCAGTGCCTGCCTTATTACAGACCAATTTAAATCTTAACGTTCATCCTACAAAGTCCCATCACAGGGGAGAAACACAAACAAATAGACAACGCATTTTTGTTGCCCGTTTTGAAGCGGCCATATGGCCCTGAAAACTAAATTTCCCTGTACAAGAATACGAGCTAAACCGTAAGGGTTAACAAGTATGCAGGCCTCTTGCTAAGCCACGGAGGGATTGGCACGGTTCGCTTCATGCGGTGCGAAAGAAGTTCAAAATGTACATACAATGCAGACGTCCGGAAGAGAGAGCACAGGGCAGGTGGGTGTTGTACTTAGGATTCACCAAAAGCAGCTGCTTTTTCTGGGGTGTAGGACACGTGTGTGTAGGATAGTTAACGGGACAGGCATTGGAGTCAGTGGTCTCCACGACTGCATGAGTCTTAGCAGATGGTGGAATACCGTGACGGCAGTTCTATGAGTCTATTAGGCCTCTGGATCTGCGTGTGTGTAGCTAAAACCAAATTATACTACTAAACTATGTATTTTATATTATCTTACCAGGTCAGGCCCACTGAGCTGTATAGCCCTTTTTCAGAAGAGATCTGGCCACAAATAATAGCTCAGCGAAGTTGCTTATCACGTAGAAATGTATCGCAGGCAGATTCCCTAAACGCATGTTTATAAATGTGGAGGGAAAAACCGGAGGACCCTGAGAAAAATCCACACGACCGCGGGGAGAGAGAGAGACATGCAAACTCCAAATAAACAGGTGTCAGGGTCAGAATCGAACCCACGACGTCCTGCATACGAGGCGAAGTAGTTAACATCTTGACATTGCTGATGGATACTGTTATGGGAAGATGTTGTGGGTCGTTTCATCCCCTGAGCAGCAGCTACAGGATCTGGTGGAGGGTATAACGCATGTGGCAATGAGGTGTGATGGCATCAATAACTTTGGTCACGGTGTTGTGACATCTTGAACTTAATTTACAGTGAATACTTTTAATAATGATGGCCGATGGCCGAGAATAATTACGGAGTCGAAGCTAATGGATGGGAACGCGTCTGGGAATATGTTCACCGGATAGACGGAGCGGTGAAATCAGCTCGTGAACCGGATCTTGGTGGGATTGTTATATCGGGGGAGATGGTGGCCACTTCCAGAGGCCTTCATCCAGATGCGGGGGAAGGACAACAAACTAAAACAGAGGTGGATTGATCACGGTTTTTGATGGGTCATGATGACATATCAGTGACTTAATTTGGCCAAGATGAAATCGCTACGAACTGGGCAGCGTTGGCGTGTGCCTATAATCCATCACTGCGGAGTCGAGGGTTGGTCAATCACACAAACGTTGTTAAAGTCACTCGCTGTGGGCGTCGAGGAGCAGGCTCGCCAGAAGGCGGTAAAGAAAATGTGGACTCCCATCTGTATGGGATAGAGCAGCGTTCTTCACTAATTTTCAGAGGGAGACCGCTTTCGCCAATAAGACATCGTCAGTGTGAGGGCTGCCACACATTTGAACCCATTGGGGTTTTACAGGAGCACGATGATGATGGTGATGGGGGCCGCACATCAGAGGCCGCACTAAAGGCCACCAGGGGCTGCCAGTGGCCCGCGGGCCTTGCAACGAAGAACAATGGCATACTCTTTAAAATGGCAACAATGGCATAGTTTTGCCCCCTCGCGTGCATTTCATGTCCTCTCGCATGTATAAACACGGTAGTGCCGGCTCACCACCTGGCTGCTGCTGCTGCCTTCGCAAATTGCCTGTGGTTCCTCCTCGTACCTCTGAGACGTTCCCTCGATGAAGCTCGGAGAGCTGGAGTTCTAAAGAGCTCACACACCTTGTGAAGGACCCAACGCAGGAAATGTCTGGGTTTGATCTTCCACGAAGCTCATGATCCACCCTAAATCGTATCCACTGCAGAATACATGGCGGTAGATGCGGATACGTGATGCACAAATGGAAATTAAAAGCTATCCAGTGTGACTGTGGTCATCCAGACCGTACCACGTATAACGACGCAATGCCAGATCCACAAATACGAAGGAGACATCGCAGCGAAACACTGCGGCGCTCCTGACGCGGTTGTCCGGCTTGACCACCGAAATGTGAAATTGTAGTTGCTCTGCATCTACATAAGCCTAGTGTTGTTGTTAAATGCCTTCGTATAATGATGAACATTGCTTGCTAATTTAATAACCATTCGTTTAATGACCATCATGCGGGCGAAACAAACGGTTGTAAATAACATGAACAATGTTTGAGAATGTTTGATGTTCTAAAATGCCATTCCAAGCGTTATTCACCCGTTATAACAGTGGCAGTACGTATGTATGTTGAACTTCTTTCGCACCGTCCCATAACCGACAGTGCTCATCGGAGGTTCAGCGGAAGGACAACAAGCTAAACATAAAAAGCAGTTCTAAGTAAAATAGTTTTCAATCTAGATGATGCAAAGGTGTGAATTGAATGAGCACACATGGTAGCAGGGGACCGATTACATTCACCAGTTGAACAGAATAATCAACTTTCAAGAATCATAATTTCTAAAAAAAATTGCTTCACAGATGGGTAGAGTTTACTGTATAGTGGGGGGGGGGGCGATGTTGGCAAGTTATTTGAAGGTCAGTAAATGTTTTTCTTTAGATTTAAACATACGAATCTCAATGAATCAGAATCTTAATTTATACTGGAGGAATCCGATGATGAATGTCCAGTCGTGGTCACGGGTGTCCACTAGAATCCCCAAGTACGCCTGAAGCGGGATTTGTTAACTTCCTAAACTCGGAGCCACGGACTGCCGTGCCTGGACGATGGCGAGAGGAGTGAACGTTCACCACGACATCGCGTGCTCCTCTACTCAGGGGCTGTTGTTTCTAAATTTAAAATGTAAAATGAAAATATAAAATTAAATTTTTTAGAAATTAGTAAAATATGTTCATGTATGTAATTAAGTATAATTAACTAAAAATGTGTGTTAAGTGTCATTAAGAATGTCTGTTAAAATGGAATGAATCGTATGTATGTGATTGTGTGTATGTGATTTTGTGTGTGTTTAGTATTGGCTGTCTCGTTTAGGGGTATCACCAATCGTGAAACATCAATGATTCTTGCTTTAACAATTTTGATTCTCGCTCTGTATTTATGATTCTCGCTTGAACAATTACGTGTGTAATTATGTCAGGTCTCGGGATTCAGGTCTCACCGCAGGATACAGTTTGTTATTGCGACAATGATGCACGAATTTCGGGACAACGTGGCCCCCTTGCACACCGCTGCAGGCTGGGCCTGACCCATCGACCCCTGCCGACACGGGCGCCTTAGCCAGCGTGAGCAGCGTGCCGCCGACTCGACAGCCACGCCAGCTGTGGATGGAGCCTGACGGGCGCGCGGCCGAGTGAACACCACGCGGTGTGCTGACCACTTCACCTCGCCACCCGCCCCCCTCCCTGCTGGGGACCTGAGATTTTTTTTCGTCGAGATCTGAATCCTGAGACGGGACATTCTTACACTAAAATCATAATCGGTAAAAGTTCAGGTCATCTCAAGGCTTGTGGACGCAGATGTTCTTAATTGCCCCTGAGTGTGGTGTGTCTGTAGCCTTGCTCATTGTGAAACGACCTTCCCCCCTCTAAGTCGACTCATACTTATAATTAATTCCTGCTGCAGCATGCAATGACAGCCCCTGGGAAGACAAAGGCGGCTGGGCAGGCTCTAGTTATACCCTTGGAATACTTATTATTCTGGTCGTGGAGAATTTACATAATTAGTATTATGTATATCTTCTGAATGATCATTTGGTTCAATACTTCAATATAAAACTCCCATACTTCCTTATCAAGTGAATATGCCTAACCCAGAACTCATGGCACGTATGTATAGATAGGTGGATGGTAATACAACATGCAACTATTCGCATTCAAACCTCCTATTTCTGTATTGTCATGTAACAACAATAGTGATGTTAAACCTTTTTACCTGAGCTACATCATCATATAACAATACATTCTATCAAGTTAACGTTTTCTACCATGATGTTTGCAAATATTCCTATGAGGTGGTGGTCAATCAAATTTTACAACTTTTCCAAGCGAAAGCTTGTGGATAATGAACCTCCAAATGTCTCTTTGTGGGAGAGCGAGGCAGCAGCGGGTGCTTCTTTGGCATTTGTTGTCTCAAGGAATGAGTTCACAGGCATCCGTTACTGCGTTTTTTTAATGCGCTAAATCCAGACCAAAAATAACTATTACATTCAAAATAGGAAATATCACTCTTAATATATTTATTTGGAAAAGGGTCTAGCTGCTCCACTCCGCCACCCCCCTTCACTGGAGTAACAGCAGCAGCAGAACGAAGACCGCGGTCCAGACGACGTCGCCACTCGCGATGTTTCCTCGTCCGTCTAACGCCTCCTCCTCCTGCTCAGCGACGCCGTGGTCTGTGCGACAGTCGTTTCGCACCTCGCCCTGCGGAATGTTGGTTTCGCCCGGCCTTGACATATTTAAGAGATCCCGCACCTGCAGGCCGGTCGAGAGCACCGTCAGCACGCAGCGCACCCACGCAGTGTAGCCATGCAGCACGACTACACAAATCACCCACGCAGTGTAGCCATGCAGCACGACTACACAAATCACCCACGCAGTGTAACCATGCAGCACGACTACACAATCACCCACACAGTGTAGCCATGCAGCACGACTACACAAATCACCCAGGCAGTGTAACCATGCAACACGACTACAAAAATCACCCACGCAGTGTAGCCATGCAGCACGACTACACAATCACCCACACAGTGTAGCCATGCAGCACGACTACACAATCACCCACGCAGTGTAGCCATGCAGCACGACCACACAAATCACCCACGCAGTGTAGCCATGCAACACGACTACACAAATCACCCACGCAGTGTAGCCATGCAGCACGACTACACAAATCACCCACGCAGTGTAACCATGCAGCACGACTACACAATCACCCACACAGTGTAGCCATGCAGCACGACTACACAAATCACCCAGGCAGTGTAACCATGCAACACGACTACACAAATCACCCACGCAGTGTAGCCATGCAGCACGACTACACAATCACCCACGCAGTGTAGCCATGCAACACGACTACACAAATCACCCACGCAGTGTAGCCATGCAGCACGACTACACAAATCACCCACGCAGTGTAGCCATGCAACACGACTACACAAATCACCCACGCAGTGTAGCCATGCAGCACGACTACACAAATCACCCACGCAGTATAGCCATGCAGCACAACCACACAAATCACCCACACAGTGTAGCCATGCAGCACAACTACACAAATCACCCACGCAGTGTAGCCATGCAGCACGACCACACAAATCACCCACGCAGTGTAACCATGCAGCACAACTACACAAACCACCCACGCAGTGTAGCCATGCAGCACGACCACACAAATCACCCACGCAGTGTAGCCATGCAACACGACTACACAAATCACCCACGCAGTGTAGCCATGCAGCACGACTACACAATCACCCACGCAGTGTAGCCATGCAGCACGACCACACAAATCACCCACGCAGTGTGGCCATGCAGCACGACTACACAAATCACCCACGCAGTGTAGCCATGCAGCACGACTACACAAATCACCCACGCAGTATAACCATGCAGCACGCCCACACAAATCACCCACGCAGTGTAGCCATGCAGCACGACCACACAAAGCACCTACGCAGCATAAAACCCAAAGGACTCGGAGTAAATCCCTGCAGAGCAGGGAGAACGGACAAGCTCCGCATGGGAAGGCGCCCGAGTGGGACATCGAACCCAGGCGCTGCTTGCTGCATTGCCACTGCCGCCTCCCTGCCACCCAGCTGCTGAGCGCAGGCCCGATGGTCAAAAACGCCAAGCAACCAGAAACAAACAGCACCATCAAAGTTTTGGTAGACAAGTTCGCACGTAATCTTGTCTTGAGCTTGGTTACCACCCTGACGTGGCAACCTGAACTTGAACTGAAGCCGCTGCACACCACCGCATCGCACAGCACTTTCAGATGCGGTTCTGCGGCCGTCTGGAACGTTCTCCCGATATTAGCAAGCCACTGGAGCTGTGCACTTTTAAATCATCTAGATTGACAAACGTATTTCTTTAGAACTGCTTTTTGTGTTTAATTCGTTGTTCTTCCCCTGCACCTCCGATTAGAGGTTCAACATCTTCTTATTCTTCTTCCATATGGCTGATGTCGATGCAGAGCAACAACCATAATGTGACATTCAGGTGGTCGAGCCAGATAATCGCGTCAGGAGTAGCGGAGTATATCGCTGTGATGTCTCCTCCGTATTTGTGGATCGGGGCATTGCGTCGCTAGACGTTGTACAGTCTGTTCTGGATGACCACAGTCGAACACTACTCCTGGATAGTTTTTTATTTTCCATTTGTGCATCAGGGATCTGCATCTACTGCCATCGTTTGTGCGGTGGACAAGGTTTTCTGGGGTTTTTTAGTTTTTTTGGGGGGGTTTTGGGGTTTTTTTTTTTGGGTGGACCATGAGTTCAACGTACGTACATATGTAGATACAGTGACCATTGAGACGGGTTCAACCCCCTGCGCCGACTGGCACCACCACCGCCACCGGCACCACCACCGCCACCACCACCGCCACCACCGCCACCGCCGCCACAACCACCACCGCCGCCACCGCCGCCGCCACCGCCGCCACTACCGCCACCGCCACCGCCGCGTGGCCTCCAGACGATGGCGCCTTCTCACCTCCTCGGCCTTGGCCAACACGCGCAGTATGTTCTCCCCCAGCACCTTGGAGACGTCGCTGTCGGTCCAGCCTCTCCGGAGCAGCTCAGCGATGAGGTGCGGGTACTTGGAGACGTCCTCCAGCCCCTCCGTGCCCCTGCACGCCACGCGGCCGGGGACCACGTTAAGCCACCAGGGTCAGGCCTCCAATTTTCCAGTTCAACTAAACTATGATGCCTGCTGCTGTATATTTGGAGTTTGCGTGTCTATCTCCCCATGGTGGTCATGTGGATTTTTCTCTGGGTCCTCCGTTTTTTTTCCCTCCACATTTAGAATCAACATGACACGTGTTTGGCTCCTGCTTTAAATTTCCATGCAATAACTCACTTTTTTAGCTATCAGTTGTGGCCAGGTCGCTTCTGAAAAATAGCTATATAGCTCAGAGGGTCTTACGTGGTAAAATACAAATAGTACACTGTTTTTTATTAGTTATGCAATACAACGTGGGCTTCCGTGCTCCGACCAAATATATTGAAACTGCTAAACCACCCACCCATTCATAAGTGCTACTCGTTAACAGCACTTGCCCCAACAGTCTTTTAAGGCTATAAAGGTGATCTTTGTCTTTTTACCCATCGTAGCCGTCAAAATCACTCCCAATGCCGATGTGATCCACTCCGATGTGGTTTTTGATGTGCTGCATGTGGCCTGTGGGCGGAGAGGAATGCGCACAATTATTCTGTGAGCGTCGGAAATGAAAAACAGACAAGAACTGACATTTGGGTTGTTTTGCGTTGAAAGTAAACTAAAAACTAAACAATTTTTTTTATTGAACCAGGTAAGCCCCACCAAGCTTCTAGATTTGAAGCTTTCGTGACTGCAAGGATCAATACTCTTTGGTTCTATTCAGTAAAGTCACATAGGTAAAAAAATAAAACAACAAAAATCACGACGTTTCGGCCACAACACAAGCGGCCCTCATCAGGTGAAGGGACCAGACTGTCTCGAAGACTGCGCTGGAGTGAAACAGAGCCAAGCTCAGACCACGACCCTTAAGCTGTGTGAGAGGGATTAGGGTGCCTTGACAAAGGAATTAGCATAAAAAAATAGCATTTGATTGGCGGACTTATCATGATGAAAGGCGTAGCACAGTGATCGGCACCGGCAGTGCACCCGCCTGTGCTGCGAAAGTTTGGGGTACCACTACTTGAAAAAATATACTGTACCAATGAAAATTAGTTTAATGTTTGGTTCGATTTAGAACATCTTTCCAATGGTTGCTTAATTTGAAACCATCTTCTCGGTTGAAATTGTGTCTGTGTTTATAGATTTGAATTGCCTCGTGAACAAATCTCTGATAAAAACCTGTGGGTTTGCAAAGAACCTTGGTATCGGAGAAAATTATATCGTGATCACCCACAGCGTTGTAACAGTGATCAGCCACGGCAGAAGAATTCGTTCTGCCGTGTTTCAGAAGCGACCTGGCCACAACTGATAGATCAACGAAATGGCTTATTGCATGGAAATTTAAAGCAGGAGCCAAATACTCTAAACGCGTGATGTTGATTCTAAATGGGTGAGGGAAAATCCACGTGACCACGGGGAAAACATGCAAACTCCATATATACATGTGTCCTGGTCGGGATCAAACCCACGACCTCCTGTATACGAGGCGAGGTAGTTTACATCTCCTAGCCACCGTGGCACCCATCTGCAGATTGTGCAGCGGGACGATGATGGCGTTGCAAACATTTCAGCGCCTGGCATTTATAAATAAGCCAGAGAGATAGCGTGGATAATTAAGAATTGGAAAATGCACTTTCCACCATGGGGCATGAGGATAATTCAATATCCGTGACCACTGCTACTCACCAACCACTTCGGAGAGCGTGGCGTTGTCCTTGCACGAGACGAAGTTGGGGTAAAAGTTGACCATGATGATCCCACCGTTGATTTTCTGCGAACACGGTCAGCAATTGAGAACCGTCGCTCCAAACACAAACTCGCAGCCGTGAGTGCCAGGAGCGCTTTCAAGCTTTCCAGCAGCAAAGGTTGAGGGCGTCCATGCATTAGCCTTAGGGGGTCGGCAACCTGTGTGCCCTGGAGCCACATGCGGCTCTTTAAGGGCCGCTTCGTGACGTTATTCACTCGCATTTTGTGGCTCTTGAAATATTGAGTTTATTTACCAAATCCAAAACAATTATTGGATCTTCTTGTTGTTTCGGTCGCTGATCCCTGCATTAACCCCGTCGTGTTCTTCTGTCTGTAACGCGGGTGAGGGGGGGGTTGCAGGAGAATTCTCGTCGAGACAATCCTGCTAGATGACAAGCAACGTTTTGAGTGTAAAGCTGTGTTGCTATTAGGGACTCACCCAAGAGAAAACTGGCCACAGGGTTTGCCTCTTAACTTTGGCGATGAGAACCAACGCTTCAGGGGTCAAGGAGCGACTTTAACCCTTTCCCGTTCTGATAACGTACATGTAAGTGATGACGTACGACAACATCTTAATATACAGAGGACCGCAGAGCTTGCGGAGAGGGCGGGGGGTTGAGTTTGGCGCCGGCTCACCGCCTGGCTATCCTTTCCCGCTCATCTGTGGTTCCTCGTACCACCAATTGGAGAGCGAGTGAACGTAAACCGCGCGGTGGCCACGCGTTACGAGTCAGAACTCGTCATCGCGATCATTATCGAGCGCGCGCGGGGAGCGTTGGTGGCCCACCCCCCCCCCCCCGCTTCACCAGCTTCCGGAGGACTTCGTCGTCCACGTTGCGCCCGTGCCCGCACACCGCGTGGGCGTTGGAGTGGCTGAAGATGACGGGCGCCGCGGTGACAGCGAGCGCCCGTATGGCCGTGGCGCGAGACGTGTGCGACAGGTCCACCAGCATGCCCAGCCGGTTCATCTCCAGCACCACTTCCTGCGGTGGCGGCCACGGCCAGACAGAGACCATTACGCAGTCATAAACATCATCACCGGTATCATTGTTGTCCGCACCTCCGATTAGCACGGTTGGCTATGTACAGTGCGAAAGAAGTTAAACGCACATTGTCAACGTCGTCATCATCGTCATTGTCATCGTTGTCGTCGGCAGTAGCAGCGGCGTCATAATCATTATCGCCATCATCATGGTCATCATCTATACCATGGGTGGCCAATCTGTAACAGAGCCAGAGCCAAAGAGTACCCGTGAGTTGTGCAAAGAGCCACGTGTATAGATGTGTCGTATAGATATTGACAGTTTTCGGCACAACATGGGAGACATCCATTATTTTTTGCTACTATGATAGCACGTTCTACGCTATGCTCCTTCGATAGAGCCGCGTGTGGTGGATTAAAGATCCGGGTGTGGTGGATTAAAGAGCTGCGTGTGGTGGATTAAAGAGCGGCACGTAGCTTGGGAGACGCCAGTTGGCCACCGCTGAATTCTATATCGTCAAAATCGTTATCGTAATCAGCATTGTCATCATCGCCAAAGTGGTAGCATTGTCATCATCGTCGCCAAGGTTACATAAATCCGCTACCCCTCGTACCTTTCCAAAATTGGTGAGGCCGTCGAAAGGTGTCGGTTCTTCATGCCCCCCATCCACCCGCCACGACTCGGACCTGGGACACAACGCGCGTGCACAGTGGAACTAAACTAGAAAAAACTTTTAAATATTTTTTATTTTGCCAGGTAAGGCCCACTGAGCTATGTAGATTTTTTTTCAGAAGCGACCTGGCCACAAATGATAGCTCAAAGAAGTGACATCACGTGAAATCTTATAGCAGCAGCCAAATAATCTAAATGCATGTTTCTAAATGTGAAATTAAAAAACCAGAGGACACGGAGAATAATTTACGCAACCACAGGGAGTACATGCAAACGCAAATATACGAGTCAGGGTCGGGGTCGAACCCACAACCTCCTGCTCACCAAGCGGGAGAGATAATATCTCACCACCACGGGCCGTGCCGGGAAGTTTCGGCTCGTTTGCCGTTATTCGGGTGTGCTTGGTGGGGAGGGGTCTTGAAGACACAAATTTGACCAAATAATTTACGTGGCCTAACCCAAAAATCAATGATTAAACCTAACCCCTCTTGGCAGGCCGGAGCTGTAGACACCTTGTGCTGCAGAGGGGTGGCTGCCATTAGGGGGGGGGGGCGACCTTGGCTAGATTGTAGCAAGGCGAAGGAATGGTTGGGACAAGATGTGATGCATTAGCACTCATTAATTGGCTGAAAAGATCTTGATGTGTAGAGGACTGCAGAGCTTGGGTAATTGTTGGTAGCGCCGTGTCCTCGCTGCCCGGCGGCGGCCGCTGCTGTATTGCTGCTCGTTTCTGGTTTCTCTACGATCGTGAGAGATGCAGTTAGCTACACAAAGGACGCTCGCACTGTTTATATATATATAAAAAAACGTTTCTTGGCAAGAATTTTGGCACAAAACTAGCGCGTGGCCTCGACGAAAAACATAAAGGGTCAAACTTTTGACCCTGAAATTCTAAATGTTGTGGATGTACTCTCCAACACACTGAAGTAGTCACTATTTGGGGTTTTGTTTACGTGACAAATCCCTTACTAACTGGCTGTGTCGGGTGGTGGAGAGTTTCTTTTATCATGAACTAAACATTATTACTCACACCAAATGGTGCATTCCATTCTGGCGTATGGCAATGTGGTTCAGGAGCTCGAGGCCAATGTGGAGGTCTGCTTGCCACGACGAGAGGGCTTCAGGAGAGTGTTTGTGTAGTTTTGCTATTTTAGAGGTGGGAGTCGGTGGAGGGACCAACGGCTGCACCTGTTACGTGTTTTCATGCCACATTAAACGCAACTAATACCATCATCTTGGCTAAATGAACATAATTAAATGAAAAAGTATATGAAAGCCTAAAGTCAGAAATTATTATTGTAATAAGACGTCTGAGCTCCTGAGGCTTTGGAGCAAGTGTCCTGGACATGGAAATAAGAATCGTTCTCATTTGCGTGCGTGCGTGTGGGCATGTGTGGGGAGCGATAGTCGACTCAGCCTCAAATGAGTACCTGGTGCGGTGTGTAAACATCGCCACTCGGGAGACAAAGGCGGCCGGGCGTGGTGCTGGCCACCCACCCCCTCGTGTGCCGTGCCAGCGTTCATAGGTGCTACTCGCTAACAGACCGTGCCACAACAGTCTGTTGAGGCTACACGGGGGATCTTTGCCTTTGTGGCTTACCAGGGCGTGTTGCAGTTGTGCGTGAGCGTCATGTAGCGCACGCCCAGCGAGTAGAACATCCGTAGCACGGCTAGGCTGCTGTCGACTCCATGGGCCCCCTCCAGGCCGATGAGGCTCGCCACCTTCCTGCTGGAGAACGCCTGCCGCAGCTCTGCTCCCCCGGGGCGGGAGCGGGTGGGGGGGACACGCGGTTCGTCCGCTTCTTAAGTATACTCACGATGTTTTGTTTTACCAGGTAAGGCCCACTGAGCTACGGAGCTCTTTTTCAGAAGCGACCTGGCCATCACAAATGAAAGCCCAACGAAGCGACTTATCAGCATGACGTGGAAATGTAAAGCAATAGCCACATACTCTAAACGCTTGACGTTGATTCTAAATGTGGAGGGGGGAAAGCGGAGGACCCGGAGAAAAATCCTCGCGGCCACGGGATGAAACCGCAAACTCCAAATATACAGCATGTGTTAAGAGTCGTGATCAATCCCATGACCTCCTGTATACCAGGCGAGGTAGTTAACATCTCGCCACCATATTGCAGAGAAGCTGAAATAGCGCTATACAGCTCAGTGCGCTTTACCTGGTAAAATAAAAATAAGTTGAGATTACTTTAAACAATTTGAACCGGTCCTGGGCCTTCCTTAGGATGACTCAACCCTAAATAAGTACCTGGTGTGGTCTGCAAAGCATCAGCACTGGGGAGACAAAGGTGGCAGGACGTGGTTTTGGCCACCCACACCGACGTATGCCATTTCGGCCTCGATAGGTGCTCGCTAACAGCACTTGCCCCAAACCAACAGCACTTGCCCCAACGGTGTGTTAAAGGCTGTACGGGGGATCTTTGTCTGTCTGTGTGGCCTGTGTGGTAATTCTGTCTGTGTCAACACTTGCCATGGACTCATGCAAGTGTACGGGGAAGTGGTGGCGCAGCGGTTAGCACACCGTACTATGACACTGCGGATCTGAGTTCATTACAGCGTTTCGAGCGGTACGCCGAATGCTATGATTGGCCGAGGCGTGACTGGGCAATCAATATTAGTGCACTGTTAACTGGGAAGATTGTCCTAGTCTACCATCATTTGGAGAATGATGATGCAGCAGACTACGATAAGCTCAAAGTCGTACTAATGGAGTGGCACGAGTTGAACGAGGAAGGGTTTCGAAACAAATTCCCATTGGGCAGACCTGAAAAGCGTGAGAGCTTTGGGCAGTTTGTTGTGCGCCAAAACGTATGAAGGTCTTCGAGATTTACTGCTACGGGAGCAAGCGCTTCGTGCAAGTACACTACAATTAGCAGTGTTTCTGCGGGAACGGGTTTCCACAGATATTAAGACGGTAGTAATGCTGGCTGAGCAGTACCTTGCAACCCGTTATAGGACATATTAGTACCAGGGACATAACTAGTGGACCGGTAGTGAATCCCAGCCATGAGGTCATGAGTCAAAAACCTGTGTATAAGCAGAGTGTGGGGCCTAGGCGTGCCAATACTCAGCGGACAGTTAATTTATATAAATGTGGCAAATGTGGCCATATAGCTCGTGATTGTGGCCAGTGGATGACCCTAGGGTCCACACAGGATTAATGGGAAACCCGCCCACTGTAAAATCAGGGAAAGGACACGTCATAGTTTACGATGATGGTTTGCATGCACCACGACAGGGCCGATGGGCGGATCAGAGGCAATATCCAACCCAACCTGGAATCCTAAAATCTGTAGAGGTAGAACATCTTGTAACAGTCCTCCGTGATACAGGTTGCAGTGGGATTATAGTAGCTAAGCACCTGGTTGATACAAATGACATGACAGGTGAGGAAAGTATGTGCATCTTAATGGATACTTAATGGATAAGACTGCATGACTTTGTCCCCCAGCCAATATTAAATTGGACACTCCATACTTAAAATGGAAGGTAAAAGCTCTCTGTATGGAACACCCACTATTCGTGTTGGTGACTGGTAATGTCCAAGAGACGAGGGATCCACAGATGCCGGATTCCACCTGCCACGGTCAAATAGTGAAGGGAATAATACCCTCTAGAGAGTTCGCTCAAGGAGTGGTTACCCGAGGACAAGCTAAGAGGGAGAAAATGGGGACCAAAGCCTTGACGGTTTCCACGGGCATAGATGCAGAGATCACCTCGGAAAGGTTGATAAAATTACAGAGGGAGGATCTGAGTCTAACTGATCTCTGTAGGAATGCAAAGGAAGGCAAGGTATGGAATTCTGGTGTAGGAATCACTGCTAGAATTATTATTTACCAGAATTTGCTACGCAGAATTCCAGAATCCCAATTTAGAAAAGGGTCCTACATTCCGACAATTGATGGTCTCGCATAAATTGTGTGACAAGCGTTGTCTTTGGCACGTGATTCCACAATGGCCAGTCAGATGGGTGTAAAGCGACCTCAACACAGGGTGTTGGCAAGCTTTTATTGGCCAGGAGTTAATCGTGATGTGCAACGATTTTGCCAGTTGTGTAATATATATCAGCGCACGATTGCGAAGGGTCGGGTGTCTAAAGTGCCACTGGGTCAGATGCCACTAATTAACACACCTTTTCAGAGGGTCGCTGTTGATTTGGTGAGGCCCTTACCAATGTCTGGGAATGGATACCGATATATCTTAACCGCAGTGGACTATGCGACACTCTCCGGAGGCATATTCTCTTAAAGGTATTGACACAGTGGAAGTAGCAGAAGCCCTGGTCCATATATTTTCTCAGGTTCGTGTACCAAAGGAGATCTTGAGTGACAGGGGAACGCAGTTCACGGCTGAAATGATGTCGGAGGTTTGCAGACCTTTGTCTGTAAGATAATTGCATACCACCCCATACAACCCAAAATGTAATGGGTTGGTAGTGCGATTCAACGGTACACTTAAGACTATGTTGAGGCGAATGGCAAGTGAACAGCCACGTAGCTGGGACAGATATCTCCCTGTACTGCTCGTTGCGTATAGAGAAACACCACAAGAAAGTTTCGGGTTTTCACCCTTTGAACTGCTTGATGGACGCTCGGTCTAAAGTCCACTGTCAATCCTGAAAGAGCTGTGGACCAAAGAGGAAACTGAAAGTGAGGTAAGAACTACTTACCAGTATGTCTTCGAGCTTCGGGAAAGACTTGAACAAACGTGTCGGCTAGCAAGAGAGTCCTTGAAGGTAGCAGTGGGCAAACAGAGGCAGTGGTGTGACCGTGGGGAAAAAGACCGCACGTTTATTGGAGGTGAGCGGGTCTTGCTACTTCTGTCGACGTCACACAACAAGCAAATGTTGAAGTGGAGGGGGCCGTATGTAGTCACCGATAAAGTTCGGATTGGCTGACTACTGAAAAAGTGTTGAGGGTACGGAACGCTTGTACCATGCCAACATAATAAACGAGTACGTGGAAAGAGCAAAGCCAAAGGCGAGAAAGAATGGGAATGTGAGAGGACAGGAAACCGAGGGTGAACCAATTGCAATAGCAGGCAACATTCAATTGGCAGATGAGGCTGAGAGTGTAGGGGAACCAGAGATTGGATTGATGCCGTTACCAAAGAATAAGGAGAACTGGGCTGATGTTAAAATGTATCCCGAGTTGAGTCTTGAATAACAGGAAGAAGTGAGGATACTTCTGCTGGCATATCAGACACATGCTAACAACAAAACCAGGAAGCACAGACCTAGCAACGTTCCCGTTGGCATTAACAGATCGAACACCGACTCTGCAGAGACCTTACCCGGTACAACTCGCGGTTAAAGAGCAGATCGAGTCAGAGATGGCCTCTATGAAGAAAATGGGGGTGATTGAAGATTCTGACTCCCAATATGCAAGTCCAGTGGTTTATGTGGGAAAACCAGATGGGTTCATACGGTTTTGTGTACGCTATATTCGACTTAATAAAATGACAGTTGGGGATGCAGAACCCATCCTCAACCAGGAGGTCCTATTTTCACAGTTGGCAGGGTCACAGGACTTCACAATGCTTGATTTAACAAAAGGTTACTGGCAAATTCCCATAGACCCATGGGATCGACATTAAACGGCCTTCACAATCCATGATGGCGTATATCCATGGCAGATAATGCCCTTTGGGGTTGTGAATGCTCCATCGGTGTTCAGTAGGCTAATGAGGTGCCTACTGAAGGGGATCCCACAGGTTTTGAACTATATGGATGACATTGTAATCCACACAAAGAGCTGGGAGGAACACCTAAGGGTGCTGGAGACAGTCTTCCATAGACTTGCAGAGAACAACCTCATGGCGAGACCAACCAAGTAGGAGGTTGGGATGACAGTGATGGACTGTCTGGGACGTTGTGTGGGAGAAGGTGGCATATCCGGCCACAGGAAAACAAAATTGGCAAGATAGCTGAAGCAAAGACTCCCAAAAATAAGGCGCTAAGGTCATATCTTGGGCTGGTGGGATACTACCAGAAATGTATCCCAAAGTTTCCAAAGGCAGCCAAACCCTGAAGAGACAAAACAAAAAAGGGAATACAACAGAGTGGGATATTGAGACAATGCAAAGCCGTGAGACGCTCAAGACGGCTCTGACGCACGAGCCGATCTTGAGGTTGGCTGACGAGATAAAACCATTTGTGTTAGGGACTGATGCATCAGAGACAGGTCTGGAGAACACGATGGAGAATCATTCCCGGTGCTCTATGCAAGATGCAAACTTTTGGATCGGGAATGCCGGTACTCGACCATCGAGAGGGAGTGCTTAGCCTTGGTATGGGTGGTTACAAAAATTTCGGATATATTTCGTGGCAAAAGATTTTCCTGGAAACTGACCACCAACCTTTGCTCCATCTAGACCGGGCTAGACTGGAGAATAATAGTGATGCGATGGATCTTGGCCCTCCAGCCATATCAATATCATGTGAGGGTAATGAAGGGCTGTGACAATGTAGGAGCAGGTTTCTTGAACCGAAGTGAGCCATAAGGAGTGTGTGAACTAGAGGAAGCAAGTCCAGTGCACCATGTGTGGTGAGAGCCAATGGAGCATTGACTTCCCAAGGGGGGGAATGATGTCACATTGCACCAATAAGTATCAAGGTAGAACACAATGGAGGGTGGGGTCCACCTGTAATAGGGAAAGCTGTTGATGAAAATTAGAGACACCTGCAACAAATAAGGTGTCAATCACCATTAGTACAGCGACTTTCTATGAATAGGGACCCCTCCCCCACACACACATACACCCCCTCCCCCACACACACATTACCTCCCCCCACACACACACATACACCCCCCCCTCCCACACACACCCCACACACACACATCACATCTGTGTGTGTGAGTCTATTTGTCTCTGTGTGAGTATGTTTGTCTCTGTGTGAGTGAGTCTATTTGTCTCTGTGTGAGTGAGTATATTTGTCTCTGTGTGTGTGAGTCTATTTGTCTCTGTGTGTGTGTGAGTCTATTTGTCTCTGTGTGAGTGAGTATATTTGTCTCTGTGTGTGCGAGTCTATTTATCTCTGTGTGTGTGCGTCTATTTGTCTCATTGTGAGTCTATTTGTCTCTGTGTGAGTGAGTCTATTTGTCTCTGTGTGAGTGAGTCTATTTGTCTCTGTGTGAGTCTATTTGTCTCTGTGTGAGTGAGTATATTTGTCTCTGTGTGAGTGAGTATATTTGTCTCTGTGTGTGTGAGTCTATTTATCTCTGTGTGTGTGAGTCTATTTGTCTCTGTGTGAGTGAGTCTACTTGTGTCTCTGTGTGAGTGAGTCTATTTGTCTCTGTGTGTGTGAGTCTATTTGTCTCTGTGTGAGTGAGTCTATTTGTCTCTGTGTGTGTGAGTCTATTTGTCTCTGTGTGAGTGAGTCTACTTGTGTCTCTGTGTGAGTGAGTCTATTTGTCTCTGTGTGTGTGAGTCTATTTGTCTCTGTGTGAGTCTACTTGTGTCTCTGTGTGAGTGAGTCTATTTGTCTCTGTGTGAGTGAGTCTATTTGTCTCTGTGTGAGTTAGTCTGTTTGTCTCTGTGTGAGTGAGTCTATTTGTCTCTGTGTGAGTCTGTTTGTCTCTGTGTGTGTGAGTCTATTTGTCTCTGTGTGAGTGAGTATATTTGTCTCTGTGTGAGTGAGTCTATTTGTGTCTCTGTGTGAGTGAGTATATTTGTCTCTGTGTGAGTGAGTCTATTTGTCTCTTTGTGAGTCTACTTGTGTCTCTGTGTGAGTGAGTCTATTTGTCTCTGTGTGAGTGAGTCTATTTGTCTCTGTGTGAGTCTATTTGTCTCTGTGTGAGTCTACTTGTGTCTCTGTGTGAGTGAGTCTATTTGTCTCTGTGTGAGTCTGTTTGTCTCTGTGTGAGTGAGTATATTTGTGTCTCTGTGTGAGTGAGTCTATTTGTGTCTCTGTGAGTGAGTCTATTTGTGTCTCTGTGAGTGAGTCTATTTGTGTCTCTGTGTGAGTGAGTCTATTTGTCTCTGTGTGAGTCTGTTTGTCTCTGTGTGAGTGAGTATATTTGTGTCTCTGTGTGAGTGAGTCTATTTGTGTCTCTGTGAGTGAGTCTATTTGTGTCTCTGTGTGAGTGAGTCTATTTGTCTCTGTGTGAGTCTGTTTGTCTCTGTGTGAGTGAGTATATTTGTGTCTCTGTGTGAGTGAGTATATTTGTGTCTCTGTGTGAGTGAGTATATTTGTGTCTCTGTGTGAGTGAGTCTATTTGTCTCTGTGTGAGTGAGTCTATTTGTCTCTGTGTGAGTGAGTCTATTTGTCTCTGTGTGAGTGAGTATATTTGTCTCTGTGTGAGTCTACTTGTCTCTGTGTGAGTGAGTCTATTTGTCTCTGTGTGAGTGAGTCTATTTGTCTCTGTGTGAGTGAGTATATTTGTCTCTGTGTGAGTGAGTATATTTGTCTCTGTGTGAGTGAGTCTGTTTGTCTCTGTGTGAGTGAGTCTGTTTGTCTCTGTGTGAGTGAGTCTATTTGTCTCTGTGTGAGTGAGTATATTTGTCTCTGTGTGAGTGAGTCTATTTGTGTATCTGTGTGAGTGAGTCTATTTATGTATCAGTGTGAGTGAGTCTATTTATGTATCAGTGTGAGTGAGTCTATTTATGTATCAGTGTGAGTGAGTCTATTTGTGTATCTGTGTGAGTGAGTCTACTTGTCTCTGTGTGAGTGAGTCTATTTGAGTCTATTTGTCTCTGTGTTAGTGAGTCTATTTGTCTCTGTGTGAGTCTATTTGTCTCTGTGTGAGTGAGTCTGTGGGCCTCTATGCGGCTGTCCGGACTGAGACCAACATCTCACTGTACTTGAGTCCTCGGTTTAATCATTGGCGCAGTTCCACAAACTAGAAAACGTCAAACTTTAAAAATCATCCCACTCATATGTACGGAAATTCCACATTCCTATGGCAGGGACGAGTTTATCAACCAGCGATGATAAAACAACCACTGTCGACTTCCTCACAAAGTGGTACTCATTTTATTGACTTCAGAGGGAGGCATGATGATGATGAGCTGATGCATGTGTATAGATTCGGCTCGGTCAGTACCGGTAGAGGAGGTGACGAAGGTGAGCGTGTCTGAGTACGGTACCGGTAGAGGAGGTGACGAAGGTGAGCGTGTCTGAGTACGGTACCGGTAGAGGAGGTGACGAAGGTGAGCGTGTCTGAGTACGGTACCGGTAGATGAGGTGACGAAGGTGAGCGTGTCTGAGTACGGTACCGGTAGAGGAGGTGACGAAGGTGAGCGTGTCTGAGTACGGTACCGGTAGAGGAAGTGACGAAGGTGAGCGTGTCTGAGTACGGTACTGGTAGACGAGGTGACGAAGGTGAGCGTGTCTGAGTACGGTACTGGTAGATGAGGTGACGAAGGTGAGCGTGTCTGAGTACGGTACCGGTAGATGAGGTGACGAAGGTGAGCGTGTCTGAGTAGGGTACCGGTGGAGGAGGTGACGAAGGTGAGCGTGTCTGAGTAGGGTACCGGTGGAGGAGGTGACGAAGGTGAGCGTGTCTGAGTAGGGTACCGGTGGAGGTGACGAAGGTGAACGTGTCTGAGTAGGGTACCGGTGGAGGAGGTGACGAAGGTGAGCGTGTCTGAGTAGGGTACCGGTGGAGGAGGTGACGAAGGTGAGCGTGTCTGAGTAGGGTACCGGTGGAGGAGGTGACGAAGGTGAGCGTGTCTGAGTAGGGTACCGGTGGAGGAGGTGACGAAGGTGAGCGTGTCTGAGTAGGGTACCGGTGGAGGAGGTGACGAAGGTGAGCGTGTCTGAGTAGGGTACCGGTGGAGGAGGTGACGAAGGTGAGCGTGTCTGAGTAGGGTACCGGTGGAGGTGACGAAGGTGAACGTGTCTGAGTAGGGTACCGGTGGAGGAGGTGACGAAGGTGAGCGTGTCTGAGTAGGGTACCGGTGGAGGAGGTGACGAAGGTGAGCGTGTCTGAGTAGGGTACCGGTGGAGGAGGTGACGAAGGTGAGCGTGTCCGCGTACTCCTTCACCATCCTGTGGACGACGTCGATCTGCTCCAGGGAGTAGCGGACGGCGTCCCGTCCGGCCGTGTCACACGGCGTGTACACGGCCCAGAACTGCTCCGACGGGTCGACAAAGACGAATGCACCCCGTTGTCGCGACCACTCACAGTGCCTGCTGTGTATATAAGTGGGTTAAGTGGGATTGTTATTATTGCGGCTTGTTTTCCCAGGAAAGCATCACCAATTCTCATGGTGACAAGTTTGTTGGTAAAATTGTTAACTATTAAACAATTTTTGTTTTACCAGGTAAGGCCCACTGAGCGACGTAGCTCTTTTTCAGATGCGACATGGCAACCACAAATGATAGCTCAACGAAAGTGGTTTATCGCGTGGTGCTGGCCGGCCACCTACCCCCTCGTGTGCCGTGATGGCCTTCATAGGTGCTCGCTAACAGCACTTGCCCCACGTCTGGTAAGGCTATACGGGAGATCTTTGTCTTTGTAGTGGTATTGGTGATGGCGGTGATCATGGTGATGCTGGTGGTCGTGGTAGTGGTGATGGTGTTCGTGGTTGTGGTTGATGGCGGTGATCATGGTGATGGTGGTGGTGCTGGCGGTTGTGGTGGTGTTGGTAGTGTTGACGGTTGTGGCTGTGGTGGCCGTGGTGGTGTTAGCAGGTGTGGTGGTGGTGGTGGTGTTTGGTGGGTTGCGTTGGCACCTGCCCACCGACACGCCCAGCACGCAGGCGGCTCATGCTGGTGTGAGTGGTGGCGATGTTGTTCAGGTTCACTTTGTCGTAGATCTCATTCTTGTACACATCCCTGAGGCGCCACGGCAAGTCGTTGTGTCTGCGGGGAACAGCAACCCCCCACGCAGCCAAGATTCAGGGTACGGGGAAAAGGCACAGCTCTGCAATTTGCTTGGCGACGCCAGGGCCGGCAGAAGAGTCCTTCACTCGAGAGGGAACTCTCCAGACAGAGAAAGAGGGGGGGGGGGAGCCCCTCTGAAGGATACTTGGCCTCTTCTTCCATGCTGGCCAGGTGTCTTGGTGGTAGTCCCGACACTCTTTCCACCACACGCGAACCGCCGATCAACCCCGCCGTGTTCCTAATTGATCACTGTTTTCGGAGGTCAGGAGCCAGTGATTGATTCCAGTAGAATGTTTACAGTATTGAGTGCACCGACAGACAGCCCTCCTATTTCAGCTCTGCTGCGCTCTGTTGGCTACGTACGGTGCGAAAGAAGTGCAACATAAAAACAAAGGCAAAGGTGCAGCACTGCAGCTGCATGGCTCACGCCACTGCTGATGTAATGGCCTCCACTGTTGGGAGCCATCGAGAAGCTGGTCGACTCTTCGACGCTAACGAGATGTCTCGCTTTACCCCACACGCGCGATGCCGATTGACGAACTGTGGTGAATCCATTTACACCGCTGGCTGGACAGAGGCAGGTGGGAGAGATTTAAGAACTTCTCCCCCCATCGTTTCAATGGGAAGGTTTGCATCATTGGTTTCATTTCCCCATAAATGATATAATGATAAAGTTTGGCGAGACACGATGTACAACGATGCACACGCAGTGAGACGGCGGGACAAATAACAGTGAGTACCATATGATAGTACAGCAATATGGGAACACATTTCCCGATTTTGAGCAAAGGATCGTGAAGATCTCGCTCCCTCCACCGCGCACCTCCACTCGGCCCACGACAGAGGCGGTGGAGGCGGTGGCTCGCCGCTCCGTCCCACGCACCCCCCCCACTCCCCCCTAAGAAGTCTCGACTCACCCGTCTATAAGCGGCACCTTCGCCATCAGTGCAACTGCTCTGTCCAGGTACACGTCACCGCCCACCGCCAGGGGCACCCGGGCGAGGCACAGGACTCCCCACAGGGCCGCCACGACACCCAGGAGACCGGCCATCTGGGTCCGCTCTGGCTACTGGCCAGGGTGTGAGAAAAACGCCACATCAGAAGTGAGGGTAGATGCGGTGTCATGACATTGTGTGGGTGGGTTTTTTTTGTTTCCCCCCACCCCCCCCACCCCCCCCACTTATCGGTCAAAGTTAAACGAAACGATTTAGCAATCGTTGCAAAAGTGACAAAGTCTGCGATTGTTAATGTCGTGAACATGCGCAATGCGGGGGTGTAGCAGGAACGCTCGCCGGAAAGAGGGAACGGAGACCCCCCCTTGGCCTCGCATCGATCGGCCGATGAAACCCCCTCACTTAGACCCTTGGGGCGCCGCGATGGCTAGGAGATGTTAACTACCTCGCCTTGTGTACAGAAGGTCGTCGGTTCGATCCTGACCCCTGAAAATGCCTGATATTTGGAGTTTCCGTGTCTCTCTGCTCGTGGTTTCGTGGATTTTTCTCCGGGCCTTCAGGTTTTTCCCGTCCACATTTAGATTCAACGTGAGTTTAGAATATTTGTCAATAAGCCACTTCATTGGGATATCAATTGTGGATTTTGTGGTGGTCACGCGTCCGCCGCTTGCTGCCGAGGTTCAAGGTTTCGAATCCAGCAGCCGCCCTGGATACTACTATGGTGGTGGTGGTCCAGTGTATCATCTATAATAATATATAGATCGGGTGAGCAGCTACAATGTTGCACAACGACAACGCACCACAATGTTGTATCTGGTCACCCCGAGCGATAAATGCCCTGGTCGGGCGTTGTCTTTGTGCTGTTCGCCTTTTGGCGTCCTCTGGTCTAACACTGTTTGAGACTAGGCTCTAAATCAATCAGTTCCAAAGACACATCATCATAGACGACCAGAGCATGTGTTTTGTATGCATGTTCACCACAAGTAGGATATTTGGTTAATACAGTGACATGATTCCTTGCAAAGGTTCCTGTTTGGTGTTTTAACATCTTAACACAACTGTTTTATAGCCAGCAAGGGAAACTTCTTCTTATATTGTGATACTGGAAAGGGAGGTCTCATGATACTACTGACAATTGTACAAATGCCTACAAAATAATTTTATTATTGTAAACCTGTTGGATCAACTTTTTACCCCCACACTTGGGGGGGGGGGGGTCCACTTTCTATAACTTGTATGATTCAGGCCTTCTGAAAGGCTCCTCATAATTTAGTTGACGGACAAATAGACAAACGGACACACGGAACGCCAGGCTTTTATAATAGATTTAGCTACGCGTATCTTTATTTTACCAGGTAAGTCCCACGGAGCTCTTTTTCAGAAGCGACCTGGCCGCAAATGATAACTCAAAAAAGTGTGGAAATGTACAGTATAGCAGAAAAAAAACTCTAAATGTGTGACGTTGATTCTAAATGTGGAGGGAAAAACCGGAGGACCTGGATAAAAATCCACGTGAACACGGGGAGAGAGAGCCACGCAAACTCCAAATATACAGTAGGCATCAGGGTTGGGATCAAACCAACGACCTCCTGCATACTAGGCGAGATAGTTAACATCTAGCCACCGCCGCTTACCCCCGTCTGACTTGGTTCGCTATTTAAAACAAATTTGCTCTCTTGGAAATGTTCATCGGGGCGTGCCACTGATGTTCACATCAACGTGGACATGTTTATTCACCTATTTCATTTCGCCTCCAGCAATATTTTTTTTAACCTATCGCGCTATCGGCGTCTATGTCACAGAACGACAAATCCCATCAGGATATCTTTCAGGGCCGTTGAATCAGCCCCCCCCCCTCTCCCCCGCTTATTCTAGAACAGCCCACGGTGAGGGGAGAAATACGACGTCGCTGATGGCGTGGCTCTAATCCGTTCAACTTTGGACACCCGTACTGGAACTCCGACCCCTTGGATTTTGTACGTTTAGCAACGTAACCACCACCTACCCACACACCGCTTCCCCCCGATGGTATCTGAACTCAGATCGTATCTTCTCTCCCTGTCTCAAAGTTTTTAGATAATTTGGTGACGCCGCCACTGCTGCTACGGCTGAGTTGGGCGGTGGTTGCAGAGGCACAACTGCCCTCCGAACGCATTCGTCAAAAACACCGTGGCCTTAAGGTAAAAGCATGTAAAGGGCGACGTTTTCAGCAATGGCCCTTTTTCATAGCACTTGGAGAAGCCAAGGTATCATTTGCGTCAACATCTTCTACTCGGAGCTTAGAGGCGCCTCTCTCGCTTGTCTGTCCTCTGAAAGGGGGGGCATTGTCCAAAAACGTTGCCTGTTACATGCATTTTCTTTTATATTACTACTCAACTATTTTTGTTTTGCCAGGTAAGGCCCACTGAGCTATAATACTTTTTTTCAGAAGCTACCTGGTTATCACAAATTATAGTCCAATGAAGTGGGTTATCATGTGGAAATTCATAGCAGCCAAATATTTTAAACGTGCGTGAAGGGAAAAATCGGAGGACCCGAACAGACACGCAAACTACAAATACGCAGCAGGCATCAGGACCGCGATCGAACCCATGACCTGGATACCAGGTGACGTAGTTAATGCCTCATCACCAAGGCGGCCCAGTATTATTGCCTGTTATTGACAGTGTTATATAAGGTAGTGTTATTGACAAATGTGTTCAGATTATTTTATATCTCAAGGGAGGGTTCTTGCCTATACATTCCGGTGGTTCAGCAGCATTCAAGCAAGCCTGACTGCTGATGAGCCACTCTTATTTCGCAACCGGTCCAGTGCTTGCTTGTTTTGAATCAATGCTGCACTCCCAGAAGGCCGTGCGGCTGGTGGGTTGCGTTATTAAGTGCCTGCATGTATTTTGTATTTGAAGAAGCGGTCGTGCGAAGGAGACGTATTTCTTTTGCTGATTGGCTGTGTCGGGTGGTGGAGGGTTACGACACATTTATAAATAACGCGATCTAACCCAAAAACCTTTATGAATTATTATGAAGGAGACATATTGTCTGCGTATTGAGTACGTTACCATCCAAGTTATCTTTATACACGAAACGGATCGGCAGATAATGCCTCCTGTTGAGGTGTGCTCGTTTTCTAAATAAACACTTTAGGAGATGCTCTTTCCCATGCTCCCTGCTGCAGGGAAATGTTCATCAACTCGGCAGTCAAACATCCATGTTAAATTCTCAGAGCTGGAATTCAGGCAAAATTTAAGTTTCATAATTTAATTCGTTTGTAAATCAGTTTATTAGGGAAAGGCCCTGTGAGCTTAGAAGCTCTCTTTCATGGAGACCTGGGCAAAGCGACAAGGAAGCCACATGGGAAGGGAGGGTTTGCAGGGCCTGTGTGGAACAGCTGGCGTGATAGTAGCCAGCACGCCACATGGGAAGGGAGGGATTGCAGGGGCTAAGTAGAATAATAGCAGGGACATTTTATAAACATGGCTAATAAACCATCAGAACAATGGACAATAGTAAGAAATGCAAATAACATCGTCCATTACGCTAGTGAGAGTAATTCATAAGTGGCATTTATAATGGAATTCATAATGGCAACAATTCGATTTGCATTTCCTATTTAGAATTATAATTAATTGTAAGTGAATTAATAATTCTAGACATGATTAATTTGACGTACATTTTAATAATTAAATCCCAAACTTAATTTTAACTAAACCAATTGGATCTAGATTTGAAGTTTTCGTGACTGCAGGGATACATACTCTTTGGTTCTTTCGGTAAAGTCATCACGTAGGTATAAAATGAAATAAATTAAATCACGACGTTTCGGGCGCAACACAAGCGTCCGTCATCAGGTGGGACAACCACAGCAAGAAACAATTGCTGAAGTGGGCAAAAGGGCTGCCGTGACAAGAGGCTACAGTGAGGGAAAAAAGTATTTGATCCCCTGTTGATTTTGTACGTTTGCCCACTGACAAAGAAATGATCAGTCTATAATTTTAATGGTAGGTTTATTTGAACAGTGAGAGACAGAATAACAACACAAAAATCCAGAAAAACGCATGTCAAAATTTTTATAAATTGATTGGCATTTTAATGAGGGAAATAAGTATTTGACCCCTCTGCAAAACATGACTTAGTACTTGGTGGCAAAACCCTTGTTGGCAATCACAGAGGTGAAACGTCTCTTGTAGTTGGCCACCAGGTTTGCACATCTCAGGAGGGATTTTGTCCCACTCCTCTTTGCAGATCTTCTCCAAGTCATTAAGGTTTCGAGGCTGACGTTTGGCAACTCAAACCTTCAGCTCCCTCCACAGATTTTCTATCGGATTGAGGTCTGGAGACTGGCTAGGCCACTCCAGGACCTTAATGTGCTTCTTCTTGAGCCACTCCTTTGTTGCCTTGGCCGTGTGTTTTGGGTCATTGTCATGCTGGAATACCCATCCACGACCCATTATTTTCAATGCCCTGGCTGAGGGAAGGAGGTTCTCACCCAAGATTTGACGGTACATGGCCCCGTCCATCGTCCCTTTGATGCGGTGAAGTTGTCCTGTCCCCTTAGCAGAAAAACATCCCCAAAGCATAATATTTCCACCTCCATGTTTGACGGTGGGGATGGTGTTCTTGGGGTCATAGGCAGCATTCCTCCTCCTCCAAACACGGCGAGTTGAGTTGATGCCAAAGAGCTCCATTCTGGTCTCATTTGACCACAACACTTTCACCCAGTTGTCCTCTGAATCATTTAGATGTTCACTGGGAAACTTCAGACGGGCATGTATATGTGCTTTCTTGACCAGGGGGACCTTGCGGGCGCTGCAGGATTTTAGTCCTTCATGGCGTAGTGTGTTACCAATTGTTTTCTTGGTGACTGTGGTCCCAGCTGCCTTGAGACCATTGATAAGATCCTCCCGTGTAGTTCTGGGCTGATTCCTCACCGTTCTCATGGTCATTGCAACTCCACGAGGTGAGATCTTGCATGGAGCCCCAGGCCGAGGGAGATTGACAGTTCTTTTGTGTTTCTTCCATTTGCGAATAATCGCACCAACTGTTGTCAGCTTCTCACCAAGCTGCTTGGCAATGGTCTTGTAGCCCATTCCAGCCTTGTTTAGGTCTACAATATTGTCCCTGACATCCTTGGAGAGCTCTTTGGTCTTGGCCATAGTGGAGAGTTTGGAATCTGATTG